AGTTTGACTGTATGTGGGTCACAATTGACTTTTGACCTAATACAATCGATTCTCAAGCATCTGAGCAGTTGACTGAGCAAACTTCTTGTGCAAGGCATGAAACTTGACATGTAGGGTCTTGAGAACATATTAGGACCATGGAGAGCATATGAGACCTTTGTGGTTCACCCATATTGATGAAAATGGAAACCATAATTTGAGGTACACTGCCTTAGGAGAGAGTTTGTCTGGTCCACTCTTGGGCAAACTTGGGAAAATTGAGGATCTCTAGGAGTATGTATTGAGTATTATGAGAGGGAAAATTTTGGGGTACAACAACATTAATATGCAAGTAAAATATTTAAAGAGTGATAACGAATGGATGAATAAAACGAAAAGAACACTTCGAGACAAGCATACTTATTGCATTAGGATTTTCATTCAAAAATAGACAAGTTTTTACACGCAAGCAATGTTTAAACAAACAAGAACGAATGCAAATGAAAATGCGGTAAAGAAACCAACGATTGTTATTGTTTGAGGAGACTTGACTTCGTATGGACTTCTTGATTCTGACGACTTTCTGCAGTCTTGATGCTTGAATGGGTGAGAGAATTTCCCTTCTGATATGATATGAACACAATAGTCTTTGGATTGATCCCATCTTGAACCCTGTCTCTGGATGACATACCATCTTCAATCGAATGGCCAGGTGCCCCGGAATAATATGCATAGAAGATTCTTTTAGGAGAGTGAATGAATGCTTTATCAACAAATTGGTATAAACTGCATCACCAAGCACATTACGCCACAAAGAAACAATAAACTTCGTCTTCTATCACAACAATAGAGATATCCACCTGGTGAGAAAGAGTCCAACAGTTAGCCAAATAGGAATTAGACTTTTGGAAGAGACGCCAGACAGGTGCTAGGCTTTATACTTCAACCCCTTTACAGTTTTCAATATCCAAACCGGGTGCCCCAGAATAAAGGATACATCTAGCACGTGTATCATAATCAGAAGAGATATTTGTGGGAGGAGGACCCAAAAGATCAGAGTTGGAAATAACATGATGTAATGCATTGGGATCATATCAACATGCTCATCAGGCTTCTTTTATTTTTGCTTAAAAGCTTTTTCCGTGAATTCACTAGGGGAACAAAGACTGGTTGTTGTCGAACAGGTCAGGGAACACAAATCTGTGGAGAGTGTCCCTGATTGAATAGTCGGATGCCCTGGCATGGTAACCACATGGTCAACAAGAAAGAAGCACTGATATAAGATCTCATAGTAAATGGGAACCATCTGCTAATAAGATGTTCCAAGAACTCAAGATTGCGTAGCACTCCATGGTTGAAAGCAATACCCAAGAGATGAGGAGAAGAGAGAACCTTCATTGCGATAGTAGGTGAAAGATTGTTGACATCATCATCAGAGCTTTCATGACCTGGCTTATCTGAGTCTTCAATTAATTATCTTCCTTCTCGAAGAATTTCTGACCACGGGCCAAAGCTTGCATGTATACCACACGAAATCATCCCATACTGACCTCTGAGCATGTGACAGTAAGAAATCAAATTGAACCTCTAAGGAGAGCACTGGGTCTGAATAAGAATCCCCAATCTCCGAGTACCTGTTATGAATGCATGAATATGCATGGGGTGCATGAATGAATGTCATGTCATGTTCTGTCGTTTCCAAGGAATTTACGTGTTTTGATTTTGATTTTACGCGGATAAGAGATGAAAAAGTTCAGCACAAGGCTTACAAATATGATTCCCTGGAAATAAAGGAACATGTATGTTAAGCATGTGGTTAACCATGTTATGTATGCAAAGACACAGGATCAAATGGGATCAAAGTTCCATCATTTCTGAATATGATTGCTGCACTATTCTGAATCATATGAATATTACCAGATCAAAGGACCGACATAGCTTCTGCACATGTAAGAACCAAGTACCCTGTAGATCATAAATAGTACGGAATCAAGGCTTCTGGAACCGGATACTGTTGAACCTCTTCTGAACATACTGAGAATACCAAGATTGAAGGCTCGAATGAACCTCTAAATAAACAAGTTAGGAACTTAGAAAATAAATCTGAGAACCATACGTTCACCAACATAATATAGAATCTGAATAAGTCATCAACAGAAATCCAGAACATAACCATTATAACAAATAGCCACCATCTGGACATAAGTAACCATATGAACACAATCACCATCTATACCTGTAATAATAAGTCCCGCCCCACTCACGGGTGAAGACTAGGTCAAGGTAAGGCCAGGTAACTCAGAATCGAGGGTACTCCTGAAAAAACTATCGCCGTATCACCTAGGTGAAAATGATAGCCCCTAATTTGTACCTCATATGAGCATGGACGACATGGCGGAAATAGTGAAACCTAAGTCAACTAGCCATTCATGTTCCACTCTATTCCTAGGGTTCCTATGGTATACAACTCTGACCTGGGTATTGGGCCTTTTACCTCATAGTAACACCCACCTAACAAGAAGCTGATCCAGTACAACAGTAGTATATGGAAAACAGTAAAATGCAATGCACACATATGCTCATGTATATACAAAATGGATGAATAAATAGAAAGCATAAAAAATAAACACCCAAAGAAAAGAAACAAGAGCTAGGAGCGACTCTGAGATGGACCACCATTTGGTCGACCTATCCCCAGTGAAGTCGGCAGCTGAAACAATCGGCTAAAAATCATCAAACAATGAAGTCGCCATTGAACCTCTTTTATCCCACATGAAGGGAAAGGTAAACATCGAGAAAACCTGAGAAGGGAGAAGTCACGGCCTTGCGATCAAGATATCGGGTAAGGGAGTCTGTTACGCGAGGGGAATGTATTAGCACCCCATACTCCTGTAGTATTCTATGGTATCCACTCTTGTTGTCTGTCTTATGGGTGTGTTTAATCTATGCTTAATGTTTACTACTGCTAAAGAATGCATGCAAAAGAAAGGACAAAAGAATGTATGGAAAATAAAGTTGTAATCGCTTGGGCCCTACCCAAATGCCTACGTATACTTTTTGAGGAATCAGAGCTACCGTAGTTCGACTCACATGTTTTATTTGTTTTGTGTTTTTATGGACGATGTTAATACCGTCTTCTGCCGCAGCTAGACCTTTGGATACTTATGCGTTGGCACAAAAGTAAACTAATCACGTCCTTACTTGAAAATGGTTTTAGAGAAAAGGCGCTTGGGCGCACAAAAAGGTTTTAGTTGGTTTGTATTTTATTACCTTGAAAAAGGGTTTAAGTGAGATTAGCGTGTTTTTTATTTTCTAAGAAAAGGTTTTAGTTTTAAATGCATATGCAAAAGTGGAAGAAAAGAGTCTAACAAGGGGACTACTCTATTTCTAATCCTAATGTTATCATACAATGGTAGCCCTATGATTTGGATTAACAAAAGGGAAACGTCTACCTAATGTTAGCATGCATGGTTTACAACCTAAGGTCTAACTTGCGCCCGAACGGAGCAATCACGTCCTAAGGGAACATGGTATGTACAAGGATAAAGCAAGCAAGGTCGAAAGAGCACACACATAAAAGAGTAAGGAAAAGAATTGAAATGCTTTAGCCAAGGGAGCGTATCACCCGAGACAAACAAGCGGGAATGAGATGAAAAATCAATATGTAATGTCCAAAGCGACTGAACACCTAACCAAGATATAGGAGATCGAGATAGGCGACAGAAGGCAATATGAACAATCACGAAGTATCAACATTAGCCAATGTGAACTCCTGACAAAGCGTGGGGGTTCGATTGTAGAACCCTTCCCTATTTGACGACTCGATACACAAGAGCAGGCACAACTCTGAAGCTTCGTGGTACGTCACGAGCTAAGGATGACACATACAAAGTTGTGGGGGTCGATTGCTAACCCTCCCTGCTCTCCTTCTTTTAAGGACTTCAATAAAGGATGGGGGAATAACGTGGGCATAAATATAAACACACCTACAGAATACCTACTCAAAGGTAGGGTTTCAAACAAACCACACACAGGTAGCACACAATGCACGCAATGAAGAATTGCCCTAACCGAGTCTTTAAATAAACCATAGGGGTTCCTGACATGATCAGCAATGGAGACCCCCGTCATACATCTCTATTACTACTTCTCATGGCATCATAAAGTAGTAAAATCCTACTTCTCATGATATCTAGAAAAGCAGTAAAGAAATATAGTAAAGTGCGAAGAAGTATGAAGGTAGTAGTGGCGACTACCAAAGCGAGCAAATCATCAAGAGCGGACGAAAGCAATGGAGAAGCAGGGAGTACGTGTCGAGCAAGCTTCACCAAGAAATAAACAAAAGTCATAAATGATATCCAACTAAGATAAAAGCAAACGCGTGTTGCGAATGCGACGTGTAATCGAAAGTTCCTGCTATGTTATATAACCGAAAGGAAAAGTGTACCTTGCACAATGAACAAACGCGTCAAAATATAACATGACAAAGCGACATGAAAATATGGATAAAAACTAGAAGAGAAAAGTATTTTTTATTATTAGTTTTTATGTAAGGAAAATCCTAAAAAAGAAAACTAAAATTAATTTCTAAAATCAATTAAAGAAGTCTAACAAATTTTATAGTTTTTTACCTCTTTATATCCTAACAAAAATATATAAAAAGATTTAAAGAGAGTCTTAACTCTAACAATGAAAAATAGAGGATCAGGGGTGTTGAGTTGCCATCAGGGATGCAATGTAGTAGACATGCGCTAGGGCCTATCAAATTGGGCCCAAAGAGTTATTTTTTTCACAAACTTCAATCTCTCAAGAAATAGTGCTATGGGCTTATGGAGATGGGTAACCCGGTTTGCTTAGCCCAACACGTTATATTGACTCATATATTTTTTGTATTATTTTTAAATATATGAATTAAAAAAGTAAAACAAACAAAAATATGAGTGAAAAGAGAAATTGAAGGAAATTGTAAGAAAATTAGGGTTCTAGTTGTGCCGTTTCAACTTCTTTGATCGAAGCTTCCTCTATTTCTCACGCGGCGCCATGACCAAACTCAAACCCCTCAGGTTCGCCGCCGTCATCTCAGTCGCGACGTCATCTTCTCCTTCAACGATCCTTTCCACCGGTAACGGTTCTACTCTGAGCCTCCCTCTTCTCCTCTCTGTTTCTTTCGATTTGAGTTTTCGGTTAAAATCCTTGTTTCGCCGTCGAACATCTTCATCAGTTCGCCTCTTTTCATCGGAGTTTTGCAAATAAAATGAAGCTTTGAAGCTTCCGAATCCAGTCATAGATCACAAACGTTCACACAAGTCATTATACGAATTGAAGCGAGCAGCTTACCGATCGGAGTTTGTCCGACGCATCTTCGACGGTGACTCCAACGACGGGAAAACCAGAGGTAATGTTATTGCTTCCTTAATTGCTTCAGACTCCTCTCTTCTCCTTCTATTTCTTTTTCGTTTGATTTCTTGTGCGTGCAAATTCATTATGATGCAAGTTACAATGCCATGCCGCAAATTGATGATGTTGAAGCATACGCAAAGAAGATGATAATTAAATATGCGGTTGATATGATTATCGTAGATGCGAAGATAATGATGAAATTGTGTTGCTGTAGGTTGAAGATTAAAGGTTGATAAGGATTCAGAGGCTAGGTTTGTTAAAGGTTGATGAAGATGAAGGAAGGTTATTCGAGAGGGAGATTGAGAAGTTCACAAGGAGAGAATGAAGATGAGAAACAGAGAAGGATGAAAAAAAGAGAATGAAGGTCAAAGATGATTCACAGAGAAAGATTGAAGAGGAGCTTCTAGTTTTTTCCTTGGTGATCATTTTCTCCGAGCAGAATGAAGAAGAAAATAACGATAGTTAAAGATGAAGAATGGAGGGACTTAATCTGGTGAGTTTTCTATGTTGAATTCTTTGTTCCTTTTTTGTGTGAATGAATCTCCCAAGTGTGAATCAATCTCTCTCTCCTTTTATGTTATTCTGTTACAGCTTGGTTGCAGTTAGGATAGGATTAGAAGTTGGTAGAATTTCTTCAATTTTCTGTTATAAATCCCTCATTTTCTTCCTCTTCCTTTATCTGTTATATAGATTGTTAAGGGCTTGGGATTCAGTTACAAAATAGGTTGGTTATTCAGTTAGGAGATGAAGAATTTTGTGGGGAGTTAGTTATGGCAGTTAGAGGGTTTAGTTAGTTACAGAAAGTTTATTACTGCAGTTAGGTTTTTTGTTTGTAGTTAGAGCAGTTAGGGAGTTATGAAATCGGTTAGGAGTTAGGGTGAGTTATTTGACAGTTAGTTGGTTAGGGAAGTTGGTTATAAGTTATAAAAACAGTTAGGAATTGGTTAGAAGGTTGTGAAGGGTCTATTTCTGGTTTTTTCCGTTAGCAATGCTATTTGGAGTTTAAAGGAGTTAGGATGTTAGAGAGCTATTTCAGTTGGAGAGGAGATTAGCTAGACAGTTGCAGGATTTTTGTTAGAAGAAGTTCTGTTGGGAAATTAGTTGGACAATTAGTGGAGTATAAAATTTTGTTGTGCTTCTAGTTATTCAGGCCTTTAAATCAAAGTTAGCTGCAAAATTATGGATGGTGAGAATTGATTTGAGTGAGAACTGACAGAATACTTGTTGAAATGATTTTGGATTATTTCCTCTGCTTTTATTTCCTAAGCTGACAGCCAGATCTTCCTTCCAATTTTACAACATGGGCACAATTTGGATCCAGTTTTTCTCGAATGGAACTTTGCATACACTGACTTGATTTGTTCTATAATTGCCCTCCCTGGTTGCTGTATCATTAGGCCAGCTGTAAACTGAATGAGGTTGTATGCACAGGGCTGCTAAAGCATTGATTGACTGACTTATGCAAGGTTAAACCGGTCTTTGTTGGATAACATTGTTTGAATTGATATACTGTGTTTTTTGTACAGGTTCGAGAATGCTGCGGTCGAGCTCACATATTTGAGTGGAATTGAAGATTGAAGTGGAGGGCCAATATAAGATTAGGGATGATGAAAAGGATGAAGACTGACAGTGTACATAGCTCTCGATGGGCATACGTTTGTTTAACATATTTCGGGCGATGCTCTAGGCATGTATTTTAATGTAGATTCCCCTTTTTTGTAATCTTGATGTAAAATTGCCTTTGGTAATGCAGAACACAGCCATGCATTTAATTTTTATAATAATTTGCATCTCAAATGTTCTCCATACTTAAGCTTTTCCAAGTGCCATGTGCAACTCTAAATATACTGCTTAACTTGTGAAGATGGTACAATGCACGTACAAACATCCATGTGGCTCAATCTAAAAGTTACCCCTTGAGAGTCAATTTTCTAATCAAATACCTTCACTTTTACACATTTGAAACCAACCTTCACTTTTACACATTTGAAACCAACCATCACATGAAACATTAAAAAGTTCAAACTGAAGTTTGATATAATCCAAAATTTTTGAATCTTGGCATAATCCATAGAGAAACAAATGAATATCGATCCTTATGCCCAATTCTCGATATTATTTTGTTATCCCATTAAATAAGCGAACCCAACCTTAATGAGCCATGCATACTCTCTGATCTCCTCAATACCTTGCACCTTAATCCATGAAACAATGATAGAATCCCTTGAAATTATGATATTTCCTGATGATTCTGGGACCACGTACATAAATCGTCTTGAATTCCATCTTGTTATTGGTAACAATGAACAACTCTTGTGTTGAATGAAACCAAAGAAAACTTGTGGGGAACAATTTTCCTAAGACCCTGAACTTCCATCAGACGTCCTTCAGTGTAGATACAAAACCTTAACCATGTTCTTCCAATCTTGAGTCAAAACAAACCCTAGTACACCAATTGAACCTCAATCTTCTGGCCATTAATCTCAAAGAGCAAGCTTCATTGTTAGTGAACACATACAATGCCAGATGACCTAATGGAGAGTGTGCAGATGAAATGCGGGATGCGTAAGCCAGATAAAAGTGATAGGGTAGGATAAATTTTGGGTATTACAATAATTTTATCTTGGCCTGTTTTTATGGAAATATTAAAAAGATTTGAATATTTGTTTTTAAGCCGAAGCCCAAAGCTTCGCATATATAAGGACTTGCTTCCTTATTCAAAGACAAGTAACTTTTGAAGAAGAATACTTTCTTTCTGATTAGAAGTCTAGGCTTTTTATTTGTAATACACTCTAAGTATTAGTTTAAATACTTGAGCTGTTATTTGGGTTGTTAATTGTGTATCATTCATAAGCTTTTAAGCATTGAATAATTGAAGTGTTTCAAACTTATTAATTTTGTTAAGTTCTTCACTGTAAGTGATTGAAGGGATTTGAGGATGGCCTCATACCTAGGTGAGTCTTAGATATTAGTTTAGATTGGGTAGTGATTAAGTGATTAGATCGTAAACTGGTTGTTTACTGAGGGTCTATGAATTGATACTTGTGATACGGTGGCAGAACCGACTGTTTAATACTAGTTTGCGTTTTTTGTTCGCAAATGTCGCGGTAAGCAAGAGTCGCCACCAACTTTTCTTTTATCCAACAAAGGAAAGGGTGAAAAGAACATAAAAAGACCTTTTTTCGAGATATTCTGAGTAAGGGGGGTAGATTATGGAAAGGGAATGTGTTAGCACCCTTTCCATCCGTGGTTTTCCACGGGCTCTTAGGTACTTGCTCATTTTTGAAAACTGTTTGTGCTTGTGTGTTTTGAAAGTTTTTGTATGCTTTATGGTAACTCTCGTATCGGTCCTCGAGAGTATGATAAAGCGTTTTTTTGAAAAGAAGTTTTTGTAAAGTGTGTAAGTGTGAAAACTTAGGTTTGAGCAAGTACTTAAAAGTCATATACCTACTCGAAAAAGGATGTTCTTTTCCTCCTTTCCTTTAGATAGTGCTATCTTACTATTAGTGAGTAGGTAGCCCTATCGTTGGATGTTGGGGGACTATCGAAAGAGACGCTATGGTCATTGAGGGAAACATGTAAGGATATCTTAGCATTCGAAGGGACTGTCATCATATAGGCAACATCGAGGGGACAAGATAATTTACCGAAAGGCAACTCGAGAGACGTTTAGGGACCATGATCTTTTATGATGACTTTTATACCGAGTGTCTTTGATAAGATATCCCCATGTTCGAGGGACATGACCGTTCCCGAGGCAACTGAGTGAGGAATACCCTAAGGATGCAAGTGTGAGAAGTGTGTTTTTTCAGTTATTTATCTTTTGCATTATGGTTTGCTAACATTTATTTTCAATCTTTCCATGTGTGATACTGTGGCCAGAACTGGGACGTGGTTTCCCTTTTTTAAGGAATTTGCTGGTTTGCATTTTGTGTTTGTTTTCGTAAAATGTCGCAGTAAGCAAGAGTCGGCACCGACTTTTATTTTATCCAACAAGGAAAGGAAAAAAGCACAAAAATTCCTTTTTCGAGATATTTCTGAGTACGGGGGGTAGATTATAGAAAGGGAAGGTATTAGCACCCTTTCTATCCGTAGTTATCTACGGGCTCTTAGGTACTTGCTCATCATTTTCAAAATTGTTTTCTTTGTGTTTGCGTGATTTGAAAAGCTTTTGTTTTGACTTTGATTTAACTCTTGCTTCTGTCTTCAAGAGTGTAATGAAGTGTTTTTGAAAACTTTGTTTGTAAAAGAGTGTGAGTGCGAAAAAAGTTTTGTTTGGATTGAGCAAGTACTTAAGAGCTAATCTACCTACTCGAAAAAAGAATCATTCTATGTTCGTTTCCTTTAGACAACGCTATCCCACTATTAGTAAGTAGGTAGCACCATCGTTGGAGTTTTGAGGGTCAATTCGAAAGGGACGTATGGTCACTAAAGCAATGTTAGGACATCTTAGTAGTAACCCTAATGTCTTAGATCAATTATTCGAGGCAACAATTCTGAGGCAACCATTCCGAGGCAACTTTTCCGAATCGGGACTTTGATCTTTATTTAGACAAAAGGACGACCACTAAAGCATCCTATACTCAATGACCGTTTACCGAAGGCAACCAAGTGGGAGTGTACCCTAGGAGTGCACATGTGCGAATGATTCAATTTCAGTTTATTTATCTTTGCACATTTAGGGTGATCTAACTGTTTTAAAATTAATCATACATTCTTGTCATGCATCCTATTATCATACATCTAACAGTTAATATTTACGGAATTTAAAATGCGGAATTTAAACAACGCTATTACAAGGCTTCGGGTATTTACATAGCCAAAAACAAACTCTTTGAAAATAAAGTGATAAATGTAAATAAACGTCCTAATTAAACTATTACAAACTGTAGGCAGTTACATCAATATGGTAAATAATAAAAATAAAGCGCGCGAGAAGAATTAAGATCGACGAGAATTTAAGGTTTTGACCCTCTTAATCAAAAGAAAAATGTTTTTGTTGTTTTTAATATTTTTAAAGCAAAGAACTAAGTTTTTCTAAATTTAATATGGAAATTAATTAGTGATTGAATTAATTAATAAAAATAATTGCAAAATCTATTTTTGGTCTTTTTGTTATTTTAGGAAAAAAATAAAATACCATTAAGTTAGTAATAAAACCTATTTATTCTAATTAGTTTTAATTATTTACAAAAAGAAATTAAAGTTTTACCTAAAATTAAAATTTAATTAAGAAAAAATCCTAAATCTATTTTTATTTGATTTTTATATTTGTTTATTGATAAAAAATAAAAGGGATTAAAATAAATAAATAAAACGAATAAAACATGAAAATAAAGATGGGCCTAGTAGCAAAAGTAAACAGGGGTGAAATCATCAGAAATCCCTAGGCCCGAATCTTCGAAAGCTTCATGCTCTAACTATGGTGTTTTTAGATTCTTGCGTGGAACCTATGATTCAACCATCCATAACTGTTCTATATAAACTCAAACAAACGTTAGCATACTATAAAATGTGATTCAAATTAGAGATTCAAAGTTTAAAATTTTATCAAATCGGTGTTGTCAAACGGGGGGCGTGCTAGGCGTGTGATGGATTGCTCTTGGTCCTTGTAAGACTCTTGAGGACTTCAAGAGGATGGTTTGAGGCTTGATGTTAATTGAGAGAGACCGGAACCTCGAGATATGACTTGCACCAATTCTTTGATTTATGGAGAGCTTTTTGAAGAGCTTTTAGAGAGATTTTTAGAGAGGATTTTCGTGGTTCTCACGCTTGTATGGCTCTATATAGAGGAGAATGAGGAGACAAGAAAGCATGGAAAGAATCTCCCTCATAATGTTGTGTTTTAAGACCATGATCAAAACTTGAAAAAATGCCATATTTGATGATTTTATGCCATTTTCACATGTGGATGAACCTGGACATATTTGAAAAGTTATTGCACGAAATCAATTGACATAAACCAGCATAAAACTTTCCCAAAATGGATTCACATCAAAATTTACATTATTTCTATTCTTTATTTATTTAATTCTGAATTTTAATGAATAAAATATCAAAATAAATAGCATAAATAGTAGAAAAATGTATGGGTGGGCTTAGAGGTCGTGGAACATATTAGGAATGAGTTTAAAACTTGAAAAGATAGTCCCATTTGGAAAAAATCCAAGTTTGGTCAATATTTGCTTCATGCATTTTTTCAAAAATTGTCCAACTTTGACAATGCATATCTCTCTCAATTTTAACCTTATGAGGGTGTTCTTGGACTTTTTAGAAACCTTGATATGTCCTCTAATCAACCCTTTTGGTCTCATCTAGTTTTGATATTCCATGCTCATGTATGAAGTTTTGACAAAAAAGTGTTTTTGTTGACTTTTCAAAATGACCTATAATATCCAAATTCATAACTTCTTATGAGTGCATATTTTGAACTTGGGAGCTGCAGATGGATTGTAGGGAATTCCATCCTCTTAAAAATGAGCTTTGGATGGGTCATTTCTCATAAATTATGAGAAAGTTATGCTTGGTCAAAGTTGAGTTGACTTTTCCTGCAAAACCCTAATTTAGCAACTTTTAAGTCTTGATGAATTATGAGCAATCCTTGATGAACAATGATCAAAACTTGATCAAATGATGAAATAAACTTCAAAATGAGGATGTTGACCAAA